GTCTAGACTGGTCTCAAACTCCCTTTGTAGTTGAGGATGACTTTGAATTCTGATCCTCCAGTCTCTACTTCTCAAGTGCTTGGATTAAGAGCAGGTGCCACCATGCTGAGCTAAAGATTACTTTATTTTTATCTATCATCTATCTACTTTTATTTAATTTTGCTTTTTGTTTCGAGAACGAATAAAGATTATTTTAGAAAGTATTACTGTGCCAGGTGTGGTGGATTGTGAACAGGTTCATGTAGTATTGTGTTCTATGATAATATTTAATGTTTGTTACAATTATTACTGATATATACTGTCCATTTGTATGCATTTCAGGCTTTTATGATTTCAGTCAAGTGTATAATAAATATGAAGTATTTTTCAAATTAATAAAACAAAGGTTTTTTTTTCAACACTGAGACAATCATCTAGTTTCCTTAGACTGTATTTGCCTTACCAATCTAGTGTTGGAAACATCAGTGTGCAGCAGTTTTTGTAACTGCACAAGTTTTAACTCCAGCTACAAAGAGCTAGAATCCCTTCCCTACCCTCATTTGCCTCTCTTAGTCTTTTGCACTTACCCATCTTGCCTTATCCCTTCTCTTATTTATTTTCTATTCCTCCTTCCTCATAGTACCTGAACCTGCCTGCTACAGAACTTGCCTCTATGCCAGGATTAGAGGACTTGTCTTTTGTGATTCTACAAATTGTTGATCGCAGAAGTACCTCTTTCCAGTGTATTATTCATTCAGCAAGTGTTTACTGAACGTCCCCTGTGGGTCAGGCATTGTGAACCCAAAGATGACTAGGTGAGGCCGCTTACAAGTTCCGTATTTTGCAGAGGAGTCAAAAGAATAGATGAGTATATTTTGTGTTAAGTTCAACAACAGTCTATTGGGGGCACAGTAGAGGGACACTTAACAACTGTTCCTAGAGAGGGTGTCAGATATTTTGGGATATTAGTTGTCACTTCACCGAGTCTAACAGTGTGGGTGGAAACAATGAAAGATGTGACTGACTCTGGGCTATAGGATCAGTAAATGTGATGACATATCACATTTGAGTGCTCCATGAGCATTTTTGGCCTTTATTCTAAAATGATAGAGTCTTTGAAATATTTTAGCTAAGAAGATTATTACATTTATGATAGAAAGAGCTTACATTGTCCATAGTATGAAAAATTTAGGCAACTTCTACAGACATGGGCAAGAAATCACAGGTGCAGAAGCAATTCAGAGGTGGAGGTGGTGGCAAAAGTCACAGAGTGAATTGTTGTGAAGAGTGAGGGAAAGGCCTGAGGTTAACTGATCCCATGTTTCTAAGCAGTAGTCTGATTTTTCAAGGTCATAGGATGGGTTGTTGAGTGTATGGCGCTCTTAGCTTGAACATGCTAAGTTTGAAAACTTTTCACAGCTTAGAAACCACCCTGGATGATACTTCTACCAAGGAGATTGATAGACAAAAAAATAAGTTATCAATGAGGGACAAAAAAATCTCATAGAGCTGGGCAGTATCATCATGGCTTTTTAGGTTATATGAATCTCATAGACCCCGATGGCAGTGAGCACAGTTTGGTGTTCCCCTAACTGGAAGGTTTGCACTGGAAAATTACAGCTACTTTCCAGCTTTCTCCTAGGTAATAGTGCTGGGCTTACTGTTTCCTTCATTTTTCTCTTGGCATGGTGGTCTGATACAACTCCCAATGACTTTGGAATTCCTTTTTCTATCCCTAAGTCTCCATTCTGAGTTCTAAGGAGAAAGGATCTAGGTTGCTCAGGTAATGAAGCGTGGACAGAAAAATAATGAGATGATGTGAGTTTTAGGGCTGTCCCAGGTTATCTATGAAAGGAATGTGATCAGGACTTGTGATTGGCTGCCAGAACGACCAACACTGGAAGAGCTGTGAGATGGCGAGAGTAGCAGCAGTTGGTGTGTGATCCGGGGCAGAGGTAGTAGTTATGGGAAAGGGTTAAAACGAAGGTGGTGGGGGAGATTATAGAGACAGGAGCTAGATTCTGAAAGGATCAGACATTTGGGGAGCGGCAGCACTTAAGAGGTGACAAGAGGAAGATAAATAAAAAGTGACCGAGAAGGCATGGAAGGAGATGAAGTGCCAAAACCTAGAAGGAAAGAGGTGCCAGTCAATAGTGTCAGTTCTACACAGATCCGGGGAGGTGGAGAGCTCATGTACCGCAAGGAAAGGAGTCTGGAGGAAATGTTCCGTGATGAGGTGGAGACAGAAACCAGACACAGTGGGATGACTGATTTGTGGCAAGGAGACGGAAATAATTATAGTATATCACTATCTCTACTTATTCCAGTCTTAACGTTTGCTCACATGCGTGTGTGTGTGTGTGTGTGTGTGTGTGTGTGTGTGTGTGTGTGTATTTGAAGTTTACTTGAACCACAGGATAGATACAAGGTCCCATGAATATGTACTCAGTCACTATGAACATCTGGAATAACTCTGCGGTGAACCAAGAAGGACCCTTTCACCTGGCCTAACTATATACCACATAGAGTGTATTTTTGGAGGACTGTTTGCTAGGTCCTTTCTTGGCTACAGCAAATGCTGATGGCTTAGTTTGACAGTGCATAGCATTCTTGCTGGCATAAATATGCCCAGAGGGACAAGCATATTAAAATCACAAATTCATTACTTCCTTGAGAGTAAAACACATAGCATTCTAACAGTCTTATAAACTGCTTCCAGGAATTATAAGGCAAAATTAATTCTGCCTCAAAAATTGCTTCCACATTTATGAATGCCATTCCTCTCTCCCAATTATTCCCATCTCCACTGCCACAAACAAAAAGTCATTTTCTTCTGCCTGGATCCCAAGCTTCTCTAGATTTGACACTAAATCCGTAAAAGTGTAATTATCACCTCGTGGTCCAACTTTTAGATTCCAGGCAGTATCTCCAAGATGCCATTTAGCCTCCGATTATTTGTAGTTTCAGTTTATGTGGAAATAACCACTTGTTTCCATGGTTAGCATAATGGGTTTACATTACACACGTAACACTGAAGGTTATTGAGCATGCTTGTGAACCCCCGTGTTTACATGTTCATAGAAAGCCATTTCGTACGCCAAATGGACCAGGCATAGACTCTGCCATCTGCTCATTTTCTTAAGTATCGGTTTTGAAATCAGATCTCTGGACTATTTACTTTTCTCTTTCTCTTACTCCATTTAAAACAAATGGAAACAACAACAAACCCCTTCCTCAAACTTCACTGGCTTTAAATTTTAGCAGGGTATTGCCATTTGGTTTTAGCCAGACTCCTTGGTTTTCACGACAGTCTTCTTCCATTATTCAAGCCAGGTATCATTTAGAGTGAGCAAAAAGGGACAATTTTAAAACAGAATGAAGTAGCCTTTCTTTTGGCTGTGACTGGTGAAACCTCTAACTAGTCGACTTAAAGGGGAGAAAAGCACAAGAGTGATAAAACCTAAGCCCAGAAAATGAGACGAAGTTCTAGTGGCCCTAAGTTACAGAGGTGTGCAGCACCACGTATGAACTAACTTTTAATGTTGAAGTAAAGCAAACAAACAAACAAACAAACACACACATGGATTATCTTAGTTCAGAGTCTACCTACAACCCCTTGGAAACAACTTTAAAAATTCTGTTCTACGTAATTAAACAAATGGTGGCTCATGGAGTTGGCCATTAGAATTGTACAGGCAGAAGGCTTAAGACAAAGTTACTTGATGTGGGAGTGTCATATATCAATCTGTTGATTTCATTGGTTAAGAAATAAAGAAACTGCTTGGCTGGCCCTCATAGGTTAAAACATAGGTGGGAGGAGTAAACAGAACAGAATGCTGGGAGGAAGAGGAAGTGAGCTCAGACTCGACAGCTCTGCTCTCAGGAGCAGAGAGGCCATGCTCCGTCTCCCAGGCAGACGTGAGCGATGAAGCTCTGACCCAGGATGGATGTAGGCTAGAATCTTCCCGGTAAGACCGGTGCTCACAGATTATTAGAGATGGGTTGATCGGGATATCAGAATTAGCCAGTAAGGGCTAGAGCTAAAGGGCCAAGCAGTGTTTAAAAGAATACAGTTTCCGTGTAATTATTTCGGGTAAAGCTAGCCATGCGGGCGGCGGGGTGCTGGGGACACAGCCCTGCCACTCCTATTACTACAGTTACTCCTTATAGAAAATGGAAGCTTAGAAATAGATACTTCTTTACAGCCAATCACCACACATGTAAGGCTGTTTGAATCTCCACTTGTTTATGCCTGTTTTAGATAAAATAAAATTCCAGATGGAAACTAGAGGCCTGTTTTGATGATGTTCCAAAGGCACAGACACACGGGAGGAGCTGCTGTTAGAAAAAGAATGAAAATCAACATTGCTGGGCAGAAAATGATTGCAATGGCTAGGTGCTTACTGGATGTTAGACTCTGTAAAAATGTAAACAACACAAAACACTGGAGATATAGAGAGTCTACATAGTGAAAATAAAATGTCCTGAACATTTTACTGTTCTGGATATTAATAATTACTCTCCTAATCTACAAAATTTGGAATATCTGGCTATCTATAATCCATCTGATAAAAAGAGTCATCCACACACTGCCCATAATACCTCCACACTGTTTTGAACAGGGCAGTACACAGATGAACGGGATTACTATTTTTTAAATGAAGTAATGTCATCATTTACTCTACAACTGGAATAAGACATAAAGGCTCAGCATTATTGTTAATCTTTTATTTTTCTTCTTTGAGACTTCATTGGGATTCTAGAACTGTAAGACCAGGCAATGGAACAGCATCTAGGGAATGTTAGAAGCCTTTGCTATAAGGGAGGACAAGTGATAGATGATCCATTGGCAGCTGATGCTGGAACTGTTGACAAGAGCTTAGCTTTTGATGTTTCTACTGGAAAATCAAAATAAAGAAATAAAGTGGAAGGAGGGAAGGTGGAGGAAGGGAAGATCGGAGAGAGAGGGGATATGAAAAGAGAGGAAACAAACAGTCATTTGGAATTATTACTGCAACAGAACATTTCCAGGTGTTTTATTGGATTATGTTTTTAACATTTGCATTAAACACTTCTAGTCTAATGACAAATTAAAAAAGTCATCACAAGAAAATATCACACAATCAAAACTCACAGGTATTTACTTAACAAAAGGCCCCAAATTAAGCAGCGAACATGGCATAAAAATTTAACTTTACATTACTATATGGTAACTTGACCTAACTCAATGTCAAAAGAAAATGAATATAAAAATATAAAATGCATGTTTGATTTGACATTGTAGTTAGAATACCATTGTTATTAAGAATAAATATTACCTCATTTCATACAAAATAATACTTGGTTGACTTACCTACTCGATGGGGAAACTGAAGTCAATGTTAGGAAATATTAAATGCCAGTATAATAACACATTTTCTTTAACTATTCACAGTTAACAATGCATTGCACAGAGAAGTACAGAATGAATCACAGACTGTTGATTTACAAGGGTAAGCAGTACTAGTGGCTACCTGATACTTGGGAACAAAAATGGGGTATCAGTCATGGGTTGAAACATGACTGTTCTTCATATTCAAACTGAGAAGTCATTGGTTGTAATGTAAGCGGGGAAAATCCTTAAGTATATCGTTAAATGAGTGGAAAGCTTACCAGTAATTGAACTATGGGTAATGTTAACAAACTGTTACCTACGATTTAATAATCCAGTACTTCTACATAGTTACTGAAAAGGATAGTTTCTCTAGAATATACACACCCTCCCAACCCCCTTCTCTCGTTTTCTCCAGTCATACACAAACTAAAAGCTAAAAAATGATTGCTATGGGGCCTAGTTTTTTTCCCTTTGAGTCAGAACAGCTGCAATTTCTCTAGTTGCTTTGAAAAACTGTTCCGAAATTAGCTGTTATGATGGGCTTTTAAAAAATCAAGTAAAAGAGATCGATGAAGAGCCATTTTGTTTGGCATGGTGGCATTAAATGGATATGAGGGTGTATGACTTGTGTGGGGGGACTTACGTTTTAGTTGATAAAATCCTTGGGTATTACAGTAGGTAGACAGAGGTTGGAAGTTATCTAAGGAGGTCTAACACAATCCCAATGACTCCTTTTCCCTACAACATTAAAATTTCAACACATCTTTTGAAGTTTAAGTTTGAAATACAACGCAGCGAGAGAGAACACACACATGCCAGGATGACAAGTGCAAAGAGAATGACATTTAGAGTCACTTATGGGCACATGGTCTATGGTAAGTCACTTGACTCTTTAACACCTTGACTGTTCTATCTCTAAACTCTAGATACTATTAGTAATTCATGTGGGCAGTGCTTTAGAAATGAAATAGAATATGTTGATGGTCTTTGCAATGCGTAAGTATTTATGTAAACGAACACATGTGGACTCCAAGAAACACTACATACACTGTTTGCTTTCCTTTGTATGTGGTATATATTGTATGTTACACCTATAATATATAAGCTTAAAAAAACCACAAATGATAGCATTTATGGGGTAGTCCCCAAAGTAGTCTATACAGTTCTCTCACAGTTGAAAAAGAGGATATTCCTATTTGGTTTAATGTCATACAATTTTATGGCATTTAAGTAAAACACTTTGACATTTTAACTAAATACTTAACCTCCCCACCCCCACCCCCCAGCATGAAACAATCACACCATAGAAACAATTTACCAGAAGAGGAACACTGTGGTTTGTTCACAAATGGTTGTAAGATACAGTATTAACACGGTATGCTTGAATCACCACTTAGCACATTTTATCAACTTAAAAAGAAAAACAAAACTAATGAAATCATTCCTCAAGATCACGGACTAAACTACACCTATGATGAAACTTCAGCTTCACAAAACTAAAATGATCAGATTAGATGCTTTAGCTAATTTCTCCACTAGTCAAAATATACATTTCCTATTATGACAGAGGCATCTCAAACCTGCCCCTTTCTGAATGGAAAGGAAATAGGACTAACTTTCTGGACAAAGGATCTCAGTATGACAAAAATATTTCCGTTATTCAATGGACCGTTACCATTTTAGTACGTTTTCTAGTGTCTGACTCTGGCGTTCTTCTAACCTATTTCTTCCTACACTAAAGTCAGTCACCAGAAAATACTCCCATTTTTAATGGGCATCGTCACCTGTCATCTTTGTTGTGCAAAAAGATATAACCCTTCTTTCCTCAATTGTCCACTAATGCCAAACAGAAGTGTTTGGGTATCCCTGAATGTTTTTCTTGCTCCTGAGCAAAACAAATTACAGTAAGGCTCCATTGGGCCTCCTTTGTATTAAAAACATTCACAAAATTTATGAATATTCTTTTATATTATAGTTATAGTTTCTGGGACCAAGAGGGCATTAACTTTTAAATGTGACAAAAATTGTATCTTACAGTCAGCTATAGTTCACTGGTATGCCAAAATATTTGATTATTAAATTACAACGAGTTGTGGAGAGTAACTTGAAAAGACATTTGTTTAGGAAATGAATTCAACATTAAAAGATGAAATGACAAGTTTTAACAATTTAGCCAGATCTGAATGAGAATGAGGTCTAAGTTTTTCAGTTCTCGTCGAGGTCAAATTGCAGTATTAGGAATACACACGTCTTGAGTTCATAATCTACCCAGTTTCCTGAAAACTCTACGGCATCATAGTGACCGATGGGGGGATCAACACATATGGGTATTTATGCAAATGTTTTAAGAACCTGGAATGCCGCAGACGTTAAAAGATGAAAAGAAATATGCAGATTACTAAATTCAAATTTAAACTCTTTATAGATTAAGAACCTGGAGTTCTGAGAAGTTGAAAGGACTTCCTGGGGCAATGAGTGCTCTGCAGACTCAGTATTGCAATGAAGATCCCCATCTGGGCTCCCGTGTGTAAAAAGAACAAAGAGAGAATAAGGCAAACACTTCTGTTCTCCAGTCTTTTCCCATCTTTTCCTACCTTTAGTCTCCTAATGTGCAGTAAAGTTCTGGGACCATTTCAGGGTTTCATGCACACTGTGCAAATCACCTTAACATCCAATTAATGTTACCGATACCTGCCCCATCTTGCTAGCTGTTTCATTAATCTGCTTCCCTTCTACAGAGGGATGCCCCACCCCTCCGTTTTTCATGATCCTATTATAGATGAGTGAAAAGATCTTAAAGGAGAAGAAATCCTATTTCCTCTTCTCACAATCTGAAGAATGAGATATTTCATGGCACTTTCAAAGCTTAAATCTTATTTCAATTTATTCTTTAGAAATGCATATAAAATCCTACTGTGTAAGTATTCTTCAAAGCATTTTTCAAGAGATGTGTGTAACAGGATTTGGTAGCGGGAAAGGGCTTTTGAGTTTGCTGAACCTGGCATGCCCACTCTACAATTCAAGAAACTAAAGTCTAGCAATGGTAATGACTTACCTGGGGTCCCAGAGGTAGGCAGTGGGTAAGAATGCCAGTATCCTGTTATCGAAGCTCATGCTATTTTTACCACTCATCATGTAAATGTTTTGGTATGTTATGCATCTGACACTGTTCTGAGTTCTTCTTTGGTGTGTGTGTGTGTGTGTGTCTGTGTGTCTGTGTGTGCGCGCGCGTGCGCACAAAATTCCAGATTTTATCTTTATTTGAACTGTAGCCTATAATTCTAAAAGAGATATACTATTACATACATTACATTGCTTAAAGATGTGTCATTGTATGAAGGTATTTCTTGCACAATTTGGCAACACCTACTGATCCTTACACAAACACCTGAACGTTTAAGAACCCCTGGTTTGTTTTCATCCAGCAGGATTGCTTTACTGCTAATGGGGCTGTGGCCATCAGTTATGAGGGGTCAGATGACTGCAAAGGGCTCACTATTCCCAGTGCCAGTATCTCTACAACATGAGCGAACACTAACAGAAACAAGGTGGTGGCTGTATTCTCAGTGTACTCATGGCCATTTCTATTGGAGGCTCACATCACTCAAAGCAAAGACAGCTATCATCCCTTTATCTTCATTAAAATGATAGCAATATGGTCTCCATGTTTTGACATGAAGAAATTACCAGGAGATTATTAAAACTTCACTTTAGACATTGCCTCAAAGAAAGTTACCTGGATTGTGTTTCTACCTATTTGGGGGTTACTAGGTAAGTGGCTGTTAACTAAGCTTCTTATGATTAATGAAATTCATCACTTGAATTTTTAGGTCATCATTTGATTAAACTTCTAAAAGTACTCATTACTTTTTATGCACTTGTTCAGGCATATCTTGACAATAAACTATGCAAGTGAATAAAGTAGTGTACATATTGAATGTTCACAGTTTGACTTTCCATAAGGCTTATGAAATAATATACAAATAGCTACCATTCTGCTGAGATGTCACAGTAAATACAATAATGGCACAGAAGTTAAATGTTCCCAAATGGGACGCCGTCTTTATGACCTCCCAAGTCTCTTTTCCAACTAAAAATTTGCCCCTTTTTAATTGAAAAAGAGTTCCATTTCTAAAAGAATATAAAAATAGAAAATGAGTCAAAGAATATTTTACACATATAACTTTGAAGGAAAAGTTATAAACATCAGATGAGATATTATATATATCTTAAAGAATGTACTTTGTCTCACCGTACCAAACATCCCATGAAAATAAAATAGAACTTGATATATAATAAATGCCTAAGTATAACTAAGTATTGTAATTTTAGTTAACACAGACAACTTAAACAGAATAAGAACTACTACATTTTTTTGTAAAGTTAAGGTCAACTAAAACCTACCTAAAATCTAATTTGTTAATCTATCATTTTGAATTAAAAAATAAAAGAATGTCTCATCAGGCAAGGCACGTTTCTTTACTACCACTCCTCTGGGCACAGTGTTGACTTCACTTATTTGTGTGAATGGGATGGTCTACCAATGGAAGCCTTTGGTATAGTCACACACTCACTGATAAAGTTAAACCTAACCCAGAACATAGACAATAGGAACATGTTCCACAATTAAAAACAGTTCAATACTTGAATGAAAAAAAAACAGCAATAGTTGGCTTGTTAGAAACACACAGAAGGTTATCTTTATCTGTGACACTGATTGTAGTTTGGGGATGTCTTGACTCCATCAGAATGTCAACAGGTTAAGAAGATACCTTAATATTTTATTTTTTTAATATTTTTTACTTTTAATGTTCCTCTTTTCTCTCCTGCTTGATATCATTGTACCACTCATAATATATGAAGAGTACCCTACAGCTCTGAGTTCTTTCCTTCAAGTGAAGCATTTGTTAGAGATGTATCTCTGAATATTAACTGAAATGAAAATATGTTACTGTCATTCCGCTCTCATCCAAGCAGTGAAAACTGAGCATGCTTCTGGTCAGGGTCACTCTGCAGTTCCTTATGTGGGGCTCTCTTGAGGGACCTGTTGGATAGAGAAGATGCAATAATTCACACTATATTTAGCATTTGAAATGACAGAATTTATGTTACAAGGAAAAGTTCCATTTATGAATTTCTTTAAATTTATGTTTCCTTACTTTTAGCTGTAAAGTTCAAGAAATTTCATTTTTTGAAATACTGTAGACTATATTTTGAATGGATCCAATTTGCAAATCAGAAAGTTTCAGATTATGCTAGTTATAATTTTTCAATTAATAATGATCCATTAGTCCAAACTAAAAGGATAGTGTGCTTTTGGAAAAGAGAATTTATCCTTATCCTCAAGGCCATCTGGCAGGTTTACAGTGACTTTTAGAAAAATGTGTTATCTTCTCAATGATTTCCAAAGATTTCTGGTTGTATCTCCTCCTGTGGTGAGCTAAAATGAGAACTCTCTGCAGTGAATAGACTTTCTGTCCTTAGAGAGGCGCTGCATGGAGAGGGATGGGGTGAGGAACAGGGAGTGGGAGGCGGAGGCAAGGGAAGGGAAGGGAAGGGAAGGAAGGGAAGGGAGGGAAGGGGAGGGGAGAGAAGAAGAGGGAAGAAAGCCCTGTGAGTGTGAGAGCCTAGCACCCTTTTATTACAAATCTAATGATCCTTAAAACATGACTATGTGCAGTTATCTATCACTTTAAAGAATTAAAACAAAAACTACTCTATCAGGGGCTGCGAAGAACCAAGAAAAGAAGGCTATAGGTTTGGTGAACTCCCTCTCCTGGTTTTCAGTTTTATCCAGAATCCAGAACGGACTGTGGTACACAGCAGACATTTTATATATTACAAAGGCAAGTCCCAACCGCCTTGCAGTGTCTGACACATTTTGGGTCCTCACTATAGGTATGCTAAGTGGATAAAAAAAAAGGATACATTAAATTCGGGTTATGTCATCAAAACATCTGCTTATTCCGTAATACAAAGGAAACCCACAAAGACATAAACAGAGACTGTTAAACGTGTGAACACTATCTATCAGGCTCATGGAGAAGACTCTTCCTCACATACACTCCTGGCTTTAGCAGATGTCCCTGAAAAGATGAGGATCTGGGATTCCACCGCACCTTTGATGGGAGAATTGTTCACTCATCAAGCTATGTACTTTAGCAATTATCTGCAGAAACATTTTTCTTGGTGGTATGGATCACACTTGGTCATACGGTCAACACTTTCTTTACACTATTTTTCTTGAGTAAAAAATAAGAATATATCTAAAATATGCTTAATTTTTATTATGGAAATATGGAAACTCCAGCAGTTTAATTATTAATTGCCACTAGGAAGAAAACACTAATAACATGAATGATATGGCCTCCATTTAGAATGTAAGTCCTTATTCTTTGCTTGCTGAGCCTTCGGTCTATTTGTCTTGAGATGGTTCAGTTAAGTTTCACTTGTTTTGCTACCATTACAATTCAGTAAAGTGACTGGGCTTCCTGTTTTAAATCTCATGTGTCCACTACTTCCTGTGAAGGCTTTGAAATGTCTAGTAAGAATAATGTAGGGCTGGGTGGATGGCACAGCTGGTAAAGAACTTGCTGCACAAGAATGAGGACATGAGTTTGATCATCAGAAAGGCAGGGCTTGGTGGTATGTGCTTGTAAACTCATCCTGGAGACCCTTGCGCTGATTGGCCAGCCAGTCTAGCCTGCTTGGTAAGCCCCAGGCAAATGAGAGAGATCCCATTTAAAATACATGGTGGATAGCTCCTGAGGAATGACACCCACGGTTGAGCTCCATTCTCTGTATACATGTGGACACATGCCCACATAAACCTGCACTCATATACATGAATCATACAGTATCTTAATAGGTTATAAATGTAGATAAAGTTGCAATTCTATAGAAATAAAAAATTAAGGTGCTATCTGGATAGTATAAGAATGCTTATGTTAGTGGATAAGAAGTGGGTTGAAAAGAATAGACATTAACTATCAAAATGAATTTCATAAAAGAGATAGGAGGTATTGTAAAAAATGATGACCTATAAAGAAACCTGCTCAAAAGGGGGACAAGAAGGGGCAAAGTTTAATAACTATTCAGTTGCAAAGAAGAAACTCATAATTCTATCAAGTTCAAAGAGAAAGAAATATAGACTCAGCCCACTGAACAATGTGTATTTGATGAGAGGTTTGGATTCATTCTAAAAATGTAGATTTATGGGAACTTTGTTCTCATGATGTGCCTGTATTTTGACATCTATTAAAAAGTTAATATGCCAGGCAGTAGTGGCATATGCTTTTAATCCCAGCACTCGGGAGGAAGAGGCAGGTGGATCTCTGTGAGTTCAAGGCCAGCCTGGTTTACAAAGAGAGTTCCAGGACAGCCAGGACTGTTTCACAGAGAAACCCGGTCTCAGAAAAACAAAAACAAAACAAAACCATAAAACAAAAACAAACAAACAAAAAACCCCAAAGCAAAACACTTAATGTTGGCCATATCACCAGTAAGTTCTACAGTTCCAGCAGCTAAACAGTAACGAATAAGCCCAAAGACTAGGAAAGTGTCTTCTCTATTATGTAGTTTTCTGGTTGAAGTTTTGGAAGTTATGAACTCTTGGCAAGTAATGAAAAATTTAAACACAACAGTACTTAAAGTTAGCAATCTGAAAGATGTGAGCATTGTCAAAAAACAGGAAATTCATTGGGAAATGAGCTTGCGAAACTGAATCAACGCTACTTTGAGTAACATGAGGAATATTTAAGTCTGCTACCTATGAATATCTAAAATTCACAGATCTAAACATGTAAGTAAAATATCTAAATCTTACACAGCATAACAAACTGCTCTTCTCAAATCAGTAAAAAGGGATGCAGCTGAAAAGTTCACAGACTCTAGGAATAAAGCAATGAAACTACAGTTCGTATTTAGAGAGACTAAGTGTCATTGAAATCTGACATATGGGAACCAGCAAGACGGTTCAGTGGGTGAAGGCACGTGCCACCAAGCCTGATGACCCAGGTTTGATTCTTGCAACCCACACAGTGGAAAGAGAGAAGCAACTCCTGAAAGGTAGTTGTCTGCTGACCTCCACAACTGTATTGTGGGCACACCCACCCACGCACAAATACATACACAATTCAAAAAATTTAAAAGCATGAAAAACGAGACATTAAAATATTTATTTCTACTTTTTGTTTTATGTCATTTCTTTAAGAAGACCTAGCAAGATATTTTCAGATGGAGTATTTGGTTCCATATAGGCTTATTAGATAAGCTGCTGAATGGAGTCTCTAACTTGTTGGTTTACGTATGTAAACTCAAACACATATGTTGATTTTAATTTGTTGACACATTTAGTAAGAAAACAATGCCGCCTGGATGTGCAGAAGAAACCTCCAGCTCATCCACTGGTCTGATTTGCCTGGGAATGGAGACAATTCAACGGGAGTATAGAGAAACACATTTCTCTCTAAATCAGCAGAATCGCACATCCTGCCAAAGAAAATACATCAGCCACAACGCTATCTAAAACCGTGGCAGTATCTTTGTTTAATGGAAAGGTTAATTCCCAGGGGAGTCATCTGTTGGGATTTTCTGTAACACTCGGGTCCATTGAGTCTTTGTCCGCATGTATGAAGAGGAGTACTAGCTATAAGAAGTACTCTACTAGCTTCTATGTAGGATCCACGGTCTCTGGGAAACATCTTAAGTGCTAAGCACCCTTGATGATATCCATATTTAAATCAAGGGATTCCATCCTTACAAATGGGTAGAGCTTTTATAGGAATCTGAAGTATGTTATATACATTGAAGTCTTTCCAATGGACAAAACTGCAGAAATTTTACCCATGAGAGCATGATAAGGAGTGGGAGCCCTGCATCAATGAAAACCATGCAAAAAAAAAAAAAAACCTCACATGTTCCTCCAATAAATACACACTGAACACAAATGTGTTTCAGGTACCAGTCCAGGTCATGGCCTCAAGGAAGGAAAAAAGAAAATAATAAATCGCATAGACAAAATATATACTATGCTAGAAGGAAGATTAAAGAGAGAAAGGCACAAACGGAGCTGCAGTGGCAAGCAGACTGGCTGGGAAGGCTGGGAAGAGACGGTGACACAGCAGGGAGGCGATGGACTGAGTCATATGGATGTTGGTTGAAGGCTCGAGCATACTACGCAGAAGGAGCAGCCAGCACAAACCCTGCAAGGTGGAGATGATTTCTCCATTTTAAAAAGAGCATGTAGAGCGCTGTGGATCAAGTGTCAGGAAGGCAAATAAAGCCAGAAGAGTTAGAGAATTAGGTAGGGCTGTGCAGGCCACTGTAAGGTCCATACAGGAAGACTGCTACGAGTTCAAGATGCACCTGGTCTATGGAGTGAGTTCCAGGCTAGCCTTGTTCCCGAGCAACCAACCATCCATCCAACCAACCAACCAAACAAAAAGAACAAGAAAAACCCAATAAAAAACCCAAAGAAAATAAGGAAGGATTACTGAGGGTTTCGTGCTAAGAACAGTCAATTAAGAGAAAGGAGAGAAGCTGGGGTATCAATTAGTAGGGTCAATAAAAATCTGGGTGAGAGACAATGATGGTTTGAGGATAGCCTTCTTAGTGAAAAGCTTGTGGGGATCTCCTCATAAATTCCCCAGAGACTAGGTACAGAGACAGTCCCAGCTTGGAAGCTCACAGGAAGAGAAAATGCTTCCGTCTTTCACAAACGAATGAGGGACCTTGTCATATGCAACACCCGAACCCTGAATAAGCAGCTGTTCATATCACTCTTCAGATATGAAGAAACAATATTTGGGGTTTATTCAGTTGCTATATTACTAATGACCAGAGCCCTAGGGATTTTCCAGGGAATTGTTCCTATTCTTCACCTGAGTTATGATAAGAATATGCCCTCAAGAAGATGATGGAGCCTCTTTTCCAGGACTCCTTTCTAAAGTACATGATGGTGCACATTTTGAAGTGCAAGAAAAATGCATCTGATGGAGGGCAAAGGGAGGAAGGAAGGAAAAAGAGGGAGGGAGGGAGGTCACAAAAACGCCTTTCGGGGATATGTTATCTTTGCAGTTTGGAAGAGAAAATTGGACCGCAGCACCATTAAAAGCCAAGACAAGCAGCTGTAAATCTCTAACAAACTGGAATCATTAGGCTGTTTTTGCAGGCTGAGAATGAGTATACCATGAATACTAGTATCAGACACCACACCACACTGACCATTTTCTGGCAGGAAGTTAAAATTTGTAAATAAGGTTTGGAGTTTTATAGCTTTCCATTATTTTTTTTTTATTTACCCTGATTTATCTTTCCTCAAATATAAATACCTTCACAGAAGGTGTATAACACACACACACACACACACACACACACACACACACTCGCCTCAGCACAACATAGGAAATCCTACAAACCAGTAATTCTTTCTTAGTTGAAAAGGCCCATTACAAAACAGAAAGCAAAAAAATCCTAAGACGTAATCCCTACCTAAATAGCTTCTCCCAGGTCTAGAACTTCTCACCTCAGCCTCACAGTGTTTCTGCACGACTCCGGATTGAGGGGCACATGCTTCTTTGCATTTCTTAGTGGGAGGGGTTATCACTTTTATTCACAGCTGAAAGGTGGAAAGGACTTGAAGCTGCTATAGACAGTGCTGAAAATTTCAATGTGTAGGAAATATAATTACGGTTCTCAAAGGAGTGAACTATTGGTGTATGCCATTATGTGCTGTAGTTATATGCTGTGTACAAAGCTGTTGCCTGGGTGTGTTATATGACAAACTTGTAAATACGTGTCATGTAAACCATAACTTTAAATATCATCTACTATGTATATAAAAGTTGATCAATCCTGAAATTCTGTTTAGAAGTTTAGAAATAACACTTTATTTCCCACCTCGTTTTGTCACCATAGTTAGACAATGTTTGATTTTGGCACAATGTGAGTTTAAAACACCACACAAGAAAAACAAATACTAAATGTTAGCCTCTATGGTCTGCTCTGGATCACTGGCTGCGGGGCACAGGCATCCTCCCGAAGTGGTGTTGAGTTGGACCGATCCAGCCACATAACTCCCATGCTTCTCCTTTCAACACTCAAGATGCTCAGCTAAGTTCAACAGTGAAGCCTGTGGCTGGCAAAGCTAATTGGCACAGGCAAAGGTGCATTCATTATCACACTACTCTAAAGCTCAAATCACTATTTTCATGTTATAAAAGATTTAGCGCCTTGGCAAAAAAAGGGCTACACCCAGTACACATGACAAAGTCAGTCTTACTGTTTTCCTGCAGTCTCTTACTGACTCGTGGAGTGGCTAGGTGAGTCATTAATGCCAAAAATCTCAGTGGCCCGAGAACCTCCTATTTTCTGTCCTGTTGTAAACAACCCTTACTTTTCTTGCAAGAGTCAAATGTTTACACTAATTTCTGATACGGTTCCTCAGAAACCTAAGCAAAGTACAGGAAATGAAAAGTTTAATAATTTATCTAATGTTATTTATCATATTGCCAATTAAAATAATGCAAGCCAGGAAATGACTATAAAAACCCCAGAAATACCGTTGTCCTTGTAGGCATCCCTAACACTACTGATAATGGCTTCTAAGGTTAAATCCAGATACGTCAATTATGTTATAAAGAAAGTCAATCTCAATCTGATTTAAATGTCTGAGGTTTGGTTCTCCTGGTTACACAGGTCTCATTCCTAAGAAAGGGCTAATTTTCAGAGGGCTGACGAGGTTTCTACACACTAATTAGTAACATGGACTGAAGTCAAACTTAAAAGTTGAAAGGATTTATCTTATCTTTCAGGACGCACCACAAAACTAGCATGGCTTTAGAGTCATCATGACCTGGTTTTTACTTGTGGCTGGGTGTCTCACTAGCTTGAAGTCACAGGGAAACACTTTAGCATCTGTCATCTTGTGCTCATCCTCATTGAAACGAGGTTAATGCCACCACAGAACTGACACGTGTCCAGGGCGCTGCTGATGCTTAACAAATGTTAACTGCGTTAGTACAAACAGGAAATCACTGGTTTCTTATTCACAAAGCTTTGCATTAACTATACAACGCTCATAAGGAGTGACCATAAAACCATGTAGTCTCTTAATCTGATGTACGTCATTAAATTATTTAATACAAAAATGTATGAAGGACTATTTATTACTTTTATATTACGAAAAAGGAAGTAAGGAATAGAGAAGTTATGTAATGTTCTCAAGGTCATTCAGCAGAGGCAGGAGCCCAACCCTGCTCTAAGACTGCAAACAGTTTCTTTCAGCCACTTCACTAAAAGCCGGGAAATACTAATGTAAGGTGAGAGCGTTAACCTGACAAACACAAGGCCCTACTTTCTGCACTAGGCACAGTACCCAAATCCTCAAGCATCTCCAAATCAAAACACTGAACCTATAACCTTTAAGGAGTTTCCAATATGGCGACTGGAAGCAATTACATCACCTGAATGCTATGAGTCAAAACCTGTGCTATTTCTCTGGTTAAGAAAACAAAAGGTGTCCTTCAACCTCCTCCTATTTAAGAAGCATAAAAATATATCGGCTAACATAATCTGTTTATGAAAATAAGCAAGGTGCTTACATTCCTAAATAGCAGTAAAAGTGTTACCTTTATGTGAGTCTTTTAGGTGACTGCTCTAATATTACCAAAAGGAATTATGAAAAGAATGCCTCTCTAGCAAAAATACCAACTCATAGATCAAAATGTGAACTGTCCAAAGAAGGTCATACAAGCAAAGGAAAGTAGGTAAAATTCTGTTTAGACACAAAGAACAAACAGCAACCAGGTAGACAGGGAATTATTGCCTCTACCTTTTTCCTCATATTTCCTTTATTTTTCCTCTTGGAACCTTCATTAATATTTCCCAGTCTCTCAAATGCACTAATATGTTAGGTAGGCTTATGGGAGATTACCTGAAATGATTTTGCGAGCTTTGAAAATGAGGGTACTGTCATGTACTCTAGAGGGACAGACTACTTATGTGCCATCAAAGCCCAAAAGCAGTGTATTAATTCATACAGCACACATAAAGCAAAATGACTACGTTGAAGTAAACTGCCCAACCCTATTTCAATTTTAAGCATTTACTTCAAGAACTACTGATACTAAGGAATTATGTAACTGCACCTCTAATCTAGCAGTTGTAGGGTCTGCTTTTTAATTCATTTTAAAGGGGAAACAAGTTGTTCAGAAGCCAAGTGGGTTGGTCAAAGCAATGGAATAATTTTCAGTTCAGCTTGGCTAAAGGCTGTTCAGTAGAAAAATTTCTGTATCCTTTTACAATGAACAATGGGAACCAAAAGATAACCAGACACATGGGGAAAATTTCCTAACGAGCTTCTCAAAAGGCAATTGGCATGTATTATAAAGCTGTCGATTTTGCAAAGATAAACCTAGCTAGGAATGACGCTTGCCTGGTTCCCTGCAAAACAGACCACTCTAAGACACACAGCCACAGAGCTCACCTGATTCTGCCTGTCTGCTGGCACCCCTCAGCATGTGCCTGAAATCTGCAGGTGTTCTTCCAAGGTCTGATTCCTTCCTGATCCATCCTCCTTTTCATTGGCTATAATACGCTCCTTAAAACCTGCATCCCTCATATATCGGAGGTTAATTTTGCTTTTCAAGTGCTGGAATGGTGACAGTTCTGTTGTGGGGTTCGGATGGACTTCTTTTTCTTTTGTAACAGGAAATCTGAAGGTCTCTTGTAGTAAGACTTTGGAGTACACTGACTTTCACTTGCTTTTGCACAGGACATGTTTATATTGTTGTCGTCACTTCGTTTCTCGGCTTGTCATTTCTCGGTGAAAGAACTGTGCAGGAGCATCTTTAAAATTTGTTACCAAAAAACCTGAAATCTAATTCAGAGTCTGACTTATTGTGGCTTACGTGTAACATTCCAAAGATGATCTTTTCCTTTTTGATTCAGTCATTATGGGATAACAGTAATGATTTATATAAAATATAAAAAAGCATCTTATGATTCATTTCACCTCTTTACCGTCTTACACTTAATTTGTGCGGTTTATTCAAATAGTATTTTTTTTTCTTTATGAAATCATGTTAGTAGGAACCATCTGGAAAGGTTACTGTGGAAACGGCAAGGCCTGAGGGGGGTGGGGCTAAAGAGCAAAAGATGCCATGACAACCTTTTTCGGGTTTCCCAGGAAACATGGGTTGCTATGGGAACTGCATCAGTCAGGTCCGAATTAGTAACTTCCGCTGGAAGGGGTGTCTGTCACTTTAATCTTCTCGTGACACCGCAGAAGCTTATCTCTCACATGCGTTAGGATTCTTTGTTGTTGCTCTTGACAGCACTGAAAACGAGCACTCAAAACATCTAAGACGTTTGTAGATGTTGGCTGGGGCACGTACTCACAACTTCACTGGAATCCGTGTCTAATACTCGCAAAACGCTTTGCAAACTCCAAAGAGTTAATAGTCAGATCAGGCCATTTGGGCCATTTCCCTTTTGGTTCAAAGTTATTGTGAGCCTTAAATTCTTAGAGGAGAGATTCAAATGGAAAGACTGGTCAAAAACAAAGTCAATGCATGGTGGGTTTATAAGTCATCGCTCTAGTTAGACTTTCTGTCCACATATTCAGAGGCTGGGTAATTAAACCAAACAGTTCATAAACACTAACGAACGGCTCACCAAACAAGGAGTATCATTTAAGTTCCACCTCCTCTACTCAGTAAAGAGACAGCTATCTTTTGATTTTGAGGTTAAACAGTTACTCCGACCCCTGAAGTTTCGTTTCCTCCCAGGATGTGGGTTTTCATGGGGGGTGACTAGAAATCAAGCCTTAATGTAAGTTTGTTGGTCACAAAATTAAAAGACGAGGAGAGAGATTAAGAAAAAAGAGCTGAGAGAACGCAGCCCACTTGCAGAACAGGCACCTGTGTCAGTATGAAGCGGCAGGGAGAGGGGGAATGCAGTGTGCTTTTCTACTTTTTTATGGCCTTTCCTTGATGAATGGTCTGGAAATGTATAAATCAAGGGCATACACAGACCAAGGGGGCACGGTTCACACAATACTGGGCACAGTCTGTCAACTGTATCATATATTAGACATCAGTGAATATCTTTTTAATGTTGACACACGAGTTGGGATTATTGTTCGTGGTGCAAGTGGCGGTGGAGTTGCCCGTTTTGAAAGGGGTCTGGGGGAAAGCGCTGTGGTTCATGCCCCCCTCTTCGATCACCATATACTCCGACTTACTCAGGGTGGAATTACTCCGGGCTTTTCGGAGCTCCTCGGCTGAAGAGGAGAGGTGCTGGCAACTTCCCACATGCATATACTGGGCCTGCTCTTCCCCTTCTGTCTCCCGGTGGTAGAAGTAATTGAAGTTGGAAACAATCACAGGAACTGGCAATGCAATGGTCAAGACACCTGCGATGGCACAAAGTGAGCCCACAATCTTGCCTCCTATGGTCACTGGGTGCATATCACCATAGCCGACAGTTGTCATGGTTACCACTGCCCACCAGAAGGCATCTGGGATACTGTTAAAACCCGAAGAAGGGTCGTCTGCCTCAGCAAAGTAGACAGCACTGGAGAAGAGGATGACCCCTATAAAGAGGAAGAAGATGAGCAGCCCCAGCTCTCGCATGGATGCCTTCAGAGTCTGCCCCAGGATCTGCAGCCCCTTAGAGTGGCGGGAGAGCTTGAAGATGCGGAAGACCCTTACTAGGCGGATGACCCTTAGGATGGCCAGAGACATGGCTTGCTGCCCATTACCCTGTCGCTCAGCCAGTTCAGTGCCCAGAGTGATGAAATAAGGGATGATGGCCACAATGTCTATCAGGTTCATGATATTTCTGGAGAAGGTGGCTTTACTGGGGCAAGCAAAGAACCGCACCAGCAGCTCAAAGGAGAACCAGATGATGCACAGGGTTTCCACCACGAAGAAGGGGTCCGAAAAGCTGGAGGCTCCAGAGGCGGTCCCCGACGTGCTGTTGTTGGTGGCCTCGAACACGTCCTGCGACGGGGAGGCGGGGTAGTCTTTCTCATCTCGGAACTCAGGCAGGGTCTCTAAGCAAAAGATGACAATGGAGATGAGGATGACCAACACCGACACGATGGCAATGCCCCGGGCCGGCCCCGAGCTCTCCGGGTATTCGAAGAGCAGCCACACCTGACGCTGGAAGTCTCTGCGGGGCAGGGGCCGCTCCTCCTCCCGCAGGAAGCCCTCGTCCTCACGGAACTTCTCCATGGCCTCCTCGCCCAGCTGATAGAAGCGGATCTCCTCGGAGAAGATATCAATGGGCACATTGACCGGTCGGCGGATGCGGCCCCCCGACTGGTAGTAGTAGAGGATGGCGTCGAAGCTGGGGCGGTTGCGGTCGAAGAAGTACTCATTGCGGAGCGGGTCGAAGTACCGCATGCGCCGCTTGGGGTCGCCCAGCAGCGTCTCGGGGAACTGGCAGAGGGTCTTGAGCTGCGTCTCGAAGCGCAGCCCCGAGATGTTGATGACCACGCGCTCCCCGCAGCATTCCTGCTCGCCCGCGGCGGGTAGCGCGGGCGGCAGCGGCTCGTAGCGGTCGCAGCCACCGCCGCCGCCGCTGGCACAGCCTCCCTGAGGCGGGTCCCCACCGCCGCCGCCCGCAGCCTCTGGCTCCAGCAGGTGGTCCCCGGGCACCACGGTCATGTCTGGCGGCAGCTCGGCGCGGCCGGGGCTCTGCAGGGTGCGCGCGCCGCCGCTCGCGGGGTCCTGCGCAGGGTGGGCGCGGCGGTGGCGGGTGGAGGGCTGCGGCGGCCGAGCGCGGGAGGCGGCGGTGCTCTTCTTCCTTGCAGGCGGCGGCCGGCCCCGAGTCGCTCTTCCTCGAGCTCCCCGCCCCACCGCCGCCTCCGCCCCGCGAGCCCGGCCCGCAGCCTGTTGCTGCGGCTGCGGCGAGGCTCTGTCTGGGGCTGGCGCGGCGCGCGGGGCTGCACGGTTCAGACGCCTCCTCCCTCCTCCGCACCCCTCCCCGCGGGGCGCGCGCCCGCCTCGCCGCCGCCCCCGGGTTTCCCGCCCACCGCGCGCGCGCACTTCCCGCTTCCTGGCCGTGCCCCTTGCGGTTCTTTGTCACTGGATCTCCTCCAATTTGCATCCCCTTCCCTAGACCCTCCGGAACCTCTGAACCGCTACCCAGCCAGTCTGGCCCTGGAGGATCCCCGTCGCCTGGCCTCATTCCTGGGCTCCACTTGCTTCTGGATAGCGTGTATTCCCATCTGTTCAAGGACCACACCTTGGCCCTCGGATGCAGACCTCCTGGCCTTTTACACTTTGCCTGGACAGGAGGAAGGGCAAGTTCCAGGAGTGTAGGTAGCAGAAGTCCCAGGCAAAGGAGAAGGAAGGACATGAGGTGCCAGGCCTCCTGACCCTGAATGTTGTGGGAGGAGGGGGTGAAGGCTAGGTGCTTAGCATGGGCAAGAGGTGAGTCTGGGGCCAGCATCCTGAATTTGGACGGTAGAAGATTATTAAAATCTGGTGTGTAGGTGCTGTAAACGATTGTGTTTGGACAGGAAGCCCAACTGAGTTAATGGGCACGTAGGGTCTGAAGTCTTTCCGGGAGTCTTAAAAAGGAGTCCTTAAAGGCATTCAGAGACCTCACTTTTGTAATAGCTAGTTCACCCTGGACAGAATCAGGGCTAAGTTTCTGCCTGGGATTAGTGAGGGCAGCCCGATTTTTAAAGCCTACTTTCGGTGGGAAAATAAGAGGGGGGGAATGGTAAAGAAAATTCACCACACCTCATCTGTGTGGTTAGATAACTCAATGATTTGTCTGCTGCAGGACAGACATGAGCAGGCCGGATAACCTAGATTTTATTTAATACACTGCACCTGCCCTGGTGGTGGGGCACTTGCCTTGTTTTAGCCGCTAATGTGGGAAAGCCTTCATTTTTGCAGCTTGTACCCTTCTTGCTTGTTTTGGGCGCAGAGAAAACATTTATTCCCCTTAAACTGTTTCTCCAAATTGTTGTGCTGGCTTTAAGCCTAATTTCTGGTCCCAGACATTTTAGTTACCCCCAAGTATAAGTACTAGAGTTACAAAATTCTGTTTTGAATCATCACAGTCATTTGCAAAAGAGGAACTGTTGTCTAGACGTCTTATCATTCCCTGAAGTGAGCTGACAATCCAATTTGATGTAAGTGATTTGTGGTCATTCTTTTCTACCCCCTCTCCCAGCCGTCAGACTCTATAATAGAACGGGCTTGCCCAACTTCTGTTCTTAGCAACCATCAAAGCACCTTGGGAATCATGGGAACTCAACATGATTGTTTGTTGAGTCGAATTCCACAACAATCGATGCTCTGTATTTCTGTCTGCTCCAGGCAGGCATTTCTTCATTTGAGTCCAGGACTTACTGTGACTCCTGGGATGAGGAGTGAGGGAAGACAGAGCTGGCAGTACAGTCACCCTGCAGGTTTCTACAGCCAGCACTGGGGATGGGGGGCGGGGTCGTATAACACCAGATTCTTTATCATTTCTTCATCTTCAACTTTACTTCCGGCCCAGTGCTGGGCACTGCAGAGTTAAGTGTATTGTCAGATGAAAAAGCTGAGCAAACCCGATAAATCCCTCTTAAACACACAACTTCAGAGAAATACGTTGTGTGATGGTCACTGCATCATTTTATATATATCATGTTAGCTGGTGGTTAAGGGAGCAGTTGAGCGGATATTCATCTATGTAAACCTAGTTACGAGAAAGATTGCATGCTGCAAGGATAGCTCACCGAAAGGCAAAGACCCTATTTTTAAAGACCGAATGTCTCATGCACTCCTATGTCTGACTTAGGAGATGATTTATTCTTCCTTTTGCAGGAATTAATGCCGAAATTAATATTAATCAATGGCAAAGGAGACTAGAGCAGAGGATGGACCTTTGATGGATGGTCACAAGTTTCTCTGTGCTGCGGAGTGTCTTGCTTTCAGAAATGACTTTTCCACTTCTCGCATAGGTTTGCCTTGTCTGGAGGACTCTGATGATGGACTTGTTCAGACAGCCCTAATTTTGTATTTGAGACCCTGAGAAATTTAGCAATTTGTTCAGCTTGCATAACTAGTTGGTGACAGAGCTGGTTCTCGAATCTTGGATTACTTCCAAATCCAGTGTTTGCAGTATTGTATCACACTGAGAAACCCTCATGCTGTTCACTGTGAGCACTTAATAAATACTGGATTTCTAAGAGCAGCCTCTTTGCTTCTGATTGCTGACTGTCGCTTTCAATTCATATTTATTTTAACCGAAAACCACTGCCTTTGGACGGCCACTAGGCCGCCTATGGGAAATGAGTTGGTGGGTGCGTTCCAGCCCTGTTGGACAGCAGAACCCATTGCAACAAATCAATGTCAAAAGTGGCACTTCAGGGGGAACACATACCATTTATTAAGTACCCCCAGGGGAGTAGCTCAAAGTGATTTGATAATGTCTCATTAATCCTCATGATGCCCCTGTGGGATAATAATAATATTATTATAATGTTTAAGTGTAGAACTGTGGCAAAGCAAACAGCTTCTCAGAGCCTGTTCAGGATTGGTTAGTATTTCAGTCTTTAATATTCAAATCTAAGTAAAGCCACGAGGTTCGCAAGTAGTAAGTGAATCTTGGTATTTGGCCTTTCTATTTTGCTCTACGCATAGCCTTGGCTTCTGACTGACCACAGCTGGACCGCAAATAACACCCCGTTTGCCCACCAGATGGGGAGCAACATCTGGGAGTAGCTCTGAAGTGTTTGAGAATGTCACAGGATTAGGAAACCTTCTAATCCACATTTATAGAGAAAAGAATGGAGAAAGAACACTTAGGCAAATACTAGGGATTGGGCCTTATGACCTTTAAACAGAAATCTTGCCCTTAGTGAGAATTTAGCTTGCCTAAAATTTAGAAGAAAGGCTATAAATCTGTGGAAAATTTTCAATGCTTTTAGTTAGCATGCAAAATCTAGTATAGAAATAGCAGAATATAAACTGTAGCCAATCATCCTATTGAAGCCAGGCAGGACCATGCTGATTCTTAAGAGAAACAAGCTGGTTTCTCTCTCAGTCTTCCTGCGTGCTCTTCCCTGTGCCTCCAATGCTCATTCTCTAGGTTTTCACATGGCCTGCTCCCTCACATTAGATCTTCATGCAAAAAGTAAAAAAAAAAAAATGCCTTTTCTTCTCACTACTACCTGATTTTCAATAAATTTCCCCATCTCTCTTTTCCATCTGCAGTCTGTTATCTGCGTTTCCCTCTTTGCATTAATTTATTGAAATTATATTTTGTGTTTTTATTCACATGTATTAGTTATATACAACATACTTCACTATAAATTTATATAGTACATAATGTGTTTTTAAAATCACATCCACTTACATTACCCTCTCTTCTCCCCCCACCCACTGATCCCTTTCCTCTTCCAACTAGTTCCCTTTCTAGTTCCATGAACCTCTGACCCCCCCCTCGTGTGTGTGTGTGTGTGTGTGTGTGTGTGTGTGTGTGATATTTTATTGGGGATTATGGACAAGATTATGAATTCGCTACCAGTGGTTGTACTACTGAAGAGAATGTTTCTCTCCCAGTGAACATTATCTGGGAGAGGTGGCACCTCATGAGCCCTTACCCCTAGCTGCCATTGTCTCTTATTAAGTCCTTAGGGAATGGCAAGACCTTCAATTCAGTTCCTACCCCATGACAGGCTGTTGACAAGTCCAATGCGTTTATTTGGTTGTTTGCTTATTGACTTCTGTCTTGTACACAAACACAGAAACTCCAAGGGCAGCATTTGGAGTTTTCACTGTATTTTTCAAATCTTCACCAATGCTTGGCACATAGTGAATGTTTATTATATCTTTAATAGAGGAAAGAAAAGATTAGGGATGAGTCCATGAGCACATAAGGTGTGCTGGGATGGTGGTGAGCTGGCTTTGCTACAGTAGAAGAGTTGGAACGGTACCTGTCAGGGTTTTGGAACTAGCTGGACTGTGCATATATGGAAGGATTCTTTGTTTTCTTTTTCTTTTTTAAAAATTCTACCTTTCTCTCCCATTTTTCTTACTTTTCCATGGCCCCAGCACGCTGAATGGGTCTGTCCTGAACACCAAAAACGTACTTCAGACTTGAGTTTCTTCCTGTACAGACAAACCCAAACTTAATATTTATAGTACCTGACTCATTATCTCTCTTCCCCAACTTGCTTCTTTCCCTGTTTTTCTTACTCATTTCTGAAATACCGAGTCATCCCCACTTCCTTCAGATGCTCTTCTGTGCAGCAAGTGCCTCCCCTCCCTCCACGTCCCTGTCAACTCCGCCCTCACGTCTTCCTTTTCACCATGACTGTCTGGTGCAGGCTGCATTGATGAGTTCATAAAAGACTTCCCATTTTCGGTTTCCTTTATGTATTTAATTCTCCAGGATGTAGCTGAGTTATTTTTGTAAACCCATATTTGATCAAGTTGTTCTTGCCATTGCCATGACGGTGAAACCTGCTCTTGACCTATCCTTGCAGCATCTCTGCGTCCTGTGCTGGCCCGGACAGGTCATCCATCATTCACACACTCGGGCCTTTGCTCTTACTTTAGTTGGCTGCACATGCCTGCCTTTATCCTACCTGTGTATCAAATCTTCTAATCCCTGCTTAGAAGTTCCTTTTTTTTTTTTTGATCGCTGCACTCCCTGTCAGCCATTATTATCTTTCAAAGTGTACTCAGGAAGGGAGCTGTTCCACTGAACAGGAACTAAGTAGGTGTTGGTAGCTAGCAATGGTACTTCAAGCCAGGCTGTATTCCTACTCTACCATTGCACAGGCAGAAAAACTGAACACAGGGTGAGAGAGGCCCTTGTATAATACCAAGTATTATTATAATAACCAAACACGGCTAAGGAAATGCAGAAACAGGATTCACACTGAGAAGTTCACATCCTCAAGCCCTAGATGTCTGTGTTATTCATCTTTATATTTCTACTCCCCATACTATGTTGCTATGCTGTTGAAGTAGTATA